AGCGAAAAATATGGTATTTAGTTTCTGCATGTATGAATTCATGCATGAAAATCCTAGAACTTGTGCATTTGTCAGTTTTGTACTGCATCCTCTCAGTTTGGATGTTATGTGTAGCACAGAGGCTAAGTAGTTAGCACTTCCACCTGGCAGTACTAGGGTTGCTGGTTCAAATCCCAACCATGGCACCACCTGCCTGGAGTTTGCATGTTCTCCCTGTGCTTGCATAGGTTTCCTCTGGATTCTCCAGTTTCCTCCCACACTCCAAAGACATGCTGGTAGGTTAATTGGATCCTGGTTAGGGACTGATGTGAATGTACAATATATATGTAAAAGCGCTGCGTAAATTGATGGTGCTATATAAGTACCATAAATAAATAATACATTTTTGATTACTGGAAGGTTTTCCTGCACCTGCTATGTTTATTCTTGGCCATGGAAGGAATTGTGCCTCTTGTTGCATTCAGTGGGCACTAATGCCCACCGAGCGTGACCCATTCTAGTGAATGGGGCTATGCTGATACCTCCCCTAAAATTGTATTTAAATGAGCTTTCAACATGCATCAACACAAAAAAGTGCCTGAATTATTTTTGGCAAGATATTTCACCAGAAGAGTTACATCTGTGCATTGTGATGTGCTGTAACAGTGGTGCATTGTTTACTTTGTTGATGTCTTGGGATGCAATTTAACTGCTTTCACACCGCCCTATAGCAGAAATACTACTACAGGATGGCACGGGTGTGCAAAATCAAGTATATACAGTATGCGTGATTTTGCAGTTCTGGGTAGGAGGCGTGCGCGGCCTCGGCTGTCAATCACAGGGTCCCGGCTGGTAATTCCCCGCTGGCACCTGGTGATCTCTGAGGATTTCCAATGGGGAAGAGACCTGTATGTAAACAATACAGATCTCTCCCCTGTCAGCTACTGCACACTGCTTTGTATGGCTCTGCATAGCAGTCTGCTTACAGTGAAGCACACACACACCGCACACAGTAAAACAGCACACAGTTAACCCTTTGATCACTCCAGATCAGGGGCGGACTGATCATTCGGGCACTGCCTGATTGCCCAGGGTCAGTAGAGGGCCCCATGAGATGCCCCTAGGAGTTTTGGGTGTGGTTTGAGTGTGGGTGAGGACACAGGGGCCCCATGATCCCCTATTGCCCGAGTGTCTCATGAGTTGTCAGTCCGTCTCTGCCCCAGATGTTAACCCCTTCCTGCTCAGTGCCATTCGTACAGTGTCAGTGCTCTTTATTAGCACTGATCACTGTATTGGTGGCACTGGGGATGTCAGTGACACCAAGTCAGTTCCCCCCAGTATCAGAATGCCTGCTCCAGTCCTGCTATAAGTCATTGACTGCCGCCACTTTCACATAAACCAATTAATTTACACGTATTGGGATTTTTTTTTCAGCAAAGACATGTAGCAGAATACATTTTGGCCTAAATTTATGACAAAATTTGTTTTTAACTTTTTTTACTGGACATGTTTAATAGCAAAAAGTCAAAAACATAGTTTTTTTTCTCAAAATTGTCGGGCTTCTTTTGTTTATAGCACAAAAAATTTAAAAACCGCACAGGCGATCAAATACCACCAAACAAAAGTTCTATTTGTGGGGAAAAAAAAGGACGTAAATTTTATTTGAATGCAGTGTTGCATGACCGTGCAATTGTTAGTTAAATTAACACAGCACCATATCGCAAAAAATGGCCTGGTCAGGAAAGGGGGTAAATTCTCTGGAGGGCAAGTGGTTAAAATAATGGCTGTCTATGACAACACACATTTGGCCTTGTATTAGTTTGCATTGCATAATGCATGATAAAATGAATTGTATACCGTAACACAATAGTAAAAATACAGCCAAATTATTTTCTGACACTGGCTGCAGTGCTCCCTGGACATCTTCAGCAGATTTCTGGTTCATGTCACTTGCTGTTGAAGTTTCAGTTTGTCCTAGCTTGGGAAATGCGTAGTTCCCATAATCAACTAGTTCAAACTTTTAATTGAAAGCCATAATACCCCATTTGTTTTTCTTCTTGAACACCTAATGAATAAACTGCTATCGAATAAGCAATACACTTGCATTAATCCTTACCTATTGAAATCCCATGAGTAATTTGTCTAATCCAGGTGTTTTCCCCCCAAAACTGTCACTCCAGAAACATCATACATCTCTGCTTATTCTCATCCCTTACCGTCAAATTACCAGGAAAAGTATTTTGCCTTTTCAGCAGCAAGAAATATATCTCCTTCTAGAAAATCTTGTTTACTTCTTTTTCCGACACCAAATGTTAATTGGTTTTTCATAGAAGTCTTTACGCATCCCTGTTTAATCTGAAAATGCTGCACACACAACAATTTAAAGTCTTGGTTGTTTTCGGCACGCTATTGAAGCTCCGTCTGCAGGAAACATACAAATACTCTCCTTATTAATTTCTTTGTGATGATAAAAGAAGAGAAAGGCCGAGATAAGACGTAGTTCAAAAATCCTATCCACATGAAGAGCTGCACAGATAAATGTAATTTTTCCAAAGGCAACAGACTGCTTTAGTCTTCAATAAAAAAAAAAAAAAGACTGCAATGGAGATAATGCAATAAGGCATCACTATGAATTCTTAGCCAGCAGCTTTGCCTAAAATATGTTCAAAGAGCTGACTGCATTATCACAATTTCCAGTATTAAATGAGAAAAGAGGGAGGATTAGAGACTTGGGTAAACATTTTGCTATTGTTTTTGGCTTAATATTGTTTTTCTAATACAAATTTGTCAGGGGTGTTTAACCCCTTCTTATTGCAGCTATGTTTGCATAGTTTTGTATGCTGATGATTCATTTCTCTTATTTGTATATTTTTAGTTTTAGGCTCCATGTACACTGCAGCTGATAAACTCACGTTTAGGAGCTGTTCAGCATTTTCTTCAGCAGCCCCTGAACTCACCCTAATGTTTTCCTATGTGTCCGTGTACACTATGTCATTTGCAGTTGTTTTTTTTAACGCACCAAACTTGTGTTCAGGAATAGATTTTATCAGTGTTTCAAACACCAAACTAATGGCTAACTGCTTTTATAAGAGTTTGCATTTGGAAATTTTTTTTAATTCTTCCATTTCCAGATGCTGTCTAGAGCTTTTTTTCATCATGAAAAATGCATGCATAGCGTTTTCCCTGTACTCAAATGGACCTGGTACACCATACTTGGAAGTTAATGTAGCAGGCCAGCTAAGACCAGTCCTAGGTTGCTAATATGGTTCACATATATGTGTATACCAAACCTGCCAATAACCTCAGTACAGTGTATTAAAGCCAAAAGCAAAATCATTGCTGTAATTTATGTCTTTGAATGTTATATGACATTTATATATTCATTGTGTTAGCAGAAGCAGAAAAGGAAAATATGCCTTTAAGAGTTAGTTAAAGATGAGCCAATCACAGACAGCCTCACACTGTACAGAGCCTTAACCAATCCCAGCCAGTTTCACATTTATGCCTGTGTAAAACTCCCTCCTAGATTGTTCTAGAGCAGGAATGGGCAAACTACGGCCCGCGGGCCGTATACGGCTCAGCGGACCTTTTAATCCGGCCCGCGGAGCGTGATACAAAAAAAAAACAGCCAGGGCAGGCAAACATTTGCATCATTCAGCACGCTCAAATGCAATGATTGGCCAGTCTCACTGCCACTCACATCCTGATAGCCAGTGATTGGCTGTCAGGATGTGTGTAGGTGGGGGCAGCGTGACGAACGTGAGGGGAGCTAGGCTCCTCTCACAGTCCGCCCTAAAGATACGGCGAGAGGAACGCGCGGAGCAAAGGTAAGTAAATTGACACAGGGGGGACTTGGCTTACTACTTGGGGGGGAATAGTACTATGGGGGATGAAATGTTACAAATTTTAATTTAATTTATATTAATTCACACATACACATCATTCATCTACTCTTGGTCTGGTCCCCGGTCCAATATATGAACCCATTGCGGCCCTCAAGTCAAAAAGTTTGCCCACCCCTGTTCTAGAGACACATGCTCACCAGACAGAAGAGGAACAGACAAGTTCCAGTCAGAAAAGCTTTATGGGGGCAGAGAAGGCCAAATAGGTATTTAATGCACTTATGTGTTCCTCTATTGTTTAGCAATGCAGATAGATCTGTATGTAAAAACTGTTGTGTGCGTGTTTACTTGTAGTTCCACCGAATTTAACGAATTAATCTAACAACATAAGCTAACGAATCCAATCGAATCTATCGAACCTATCGAATTTATCGAGATAAGCTATCGTATCAACCCAATGTTAGTGCAAATAAAAAAAAGTATCACGGACAGTACAATTGTCTGTCTCAAAATGTCTGAAATAGTTTTTTTTTTTTACTGTTTTTTAATGCATTCTGGGCATTTTGGAAGGTCTCCTGAGGTTATCTTTAAAAAAACGGTTAAAGCTTGTCAGAGGAGTTTTCTTTCTGCTCTTGGAGGATGAAGAACCCCTGACCTCTGTTTGGGCAGTGCTGATTGGCCCTGTGCTGATCACATGCACTCTTCCAAGAAAAGAAACCTCTTTAGCAATACACACTAAACTGAGCATGTGCAGAAGGGCTACGGGTTCAGTCTGTCTTATCAGTGTGGACATTTGAACAAGAGGAGGGGAAGAGAAGACAGGATCAAACAGCCTTTTTGCACAATGCAGAGGATTAACTCCTTAGATTCCACAGTGAGTATAACAAGCATGCTTTACTGCATATACAGACTGATTTTACTATTATGAGTTTAGTAACAATTTAATGTATTTGAGACCCCTTTGACTCATAAGTATCATGATTCCCATTAAAGTGTTACTAAACCCACAACAGTAAAATCAGTCTGTATATGCAGTAAAGCATGCTTGTTATACTCACTGCGGAACCTAAGGGGTTAATCCTACGGATTGTGTACAAAGGCTGTTTGATCCTGTCTTCTCTGAACTTCCTCTTGTTGAAATGACCACCTGTTACAGACTGAACCCGTGGTAACATGCACATGCTCAGTTTGGTGTGTATTGCTAGAGAGAGGTGTGTTTTTTTCTTGGGAGGGAACATGTGGTCAGCACAGGGCCAATTAGCACTGTCCAGACAGAGGGTCAGGGGTTTCACATCCTCCTAGAGCAGAAAGAAAACTCCTCCTACAAGCTTTAACCAGTGCTCTGCTGAAGTCACAAGACTGCTCTAACTGCTGACAAGAAATGTATTTAGCTGTTCATATTTACTAAAATAATTGCATTTCCATGTTATGTGTACTGTGCGAGACCAGATATAGTGAATGCCGGGTCCTGGGTTTAGTAACACTTTAAAGCTACGTTCACACCAGGGTTGTGTGCAGGCAGCAGAGAGGCGTTTGGGAAGCGTTTTTACCGCTTCCCAAACGCCTCTGCCAATTCTGCACATTACAGCACATGGTGCTGTTTCTAACGGGAGCGTTTGTGTCGCGGAAAAACGGACGCCTCTGGTCGAGTCAGGAGGCGTTGAAGCCTCCTATTCTCGTCTATGGTGCTGCTACGCAAAAACGCCCGGCCGGCGGTTGCGATGCGGTTGCGGGGCGTTTGCGGAGTGGTAAGACCACTCAAACTGCATTATAGGCATTTGTGGGGCATTATTAACGCTCGGCAAACGCCTAGCAACCGCCGCTAAACCGCGCATGCGGCATTTGCGGAGCGTTTGCCAAGTGTTAAACGCTCCGCAAACGCCGGACCAACGCTTGCCAAATGCTATAGGGGCGTTTGGCAAGCGTTGGTAAAACAGCCAAGTGTCAATAAGCATGAAGCTTTTTAGCTCAAACATACAAATGTTCTTTGGGGCAGAGTAATGCATAGACTTCAATGTACGCACCTGAAAATATGCATAATGTGCAGATTTTACATGATTCCCTGCTTCTCCTCCAACTAATAATTAGCTTTCAATTAGCTAAAACAAAGACACTCAAGCCTAAAAATGCCCAAAAAAACGTGTGTATACACATGCAAAAAAAAAAGGCTTCACAATTGTATAAAATGCTCAGGCTCAAGTGTAAATGGGGGCTGAGATACATTCAGCATGTGCTTGGTAGGTACTTTTGATACCTATCAACAGCTATTTATGTTAATCAATGCACATCACAAAGCTTCTCACACATTTCAAAAAACTTTCCAAGCACTATACAGGTGTTGAGAAGCACTTAAGAAGTGTTCTCATTTAGCTTTAATTACAGGTGTCAAAAAGTGTCTACATAAAAGGCTTCAACACCTGCTGAACAGAAAGCACATAGACACTGTGCAACATAAAAGCTTGTCTTAATTTTCAATGTTTACTAACACCTTCTCTTTTATTTACAAGCTTGCTTCCCAATTGCCTGCAATTAATGTCCTTACTGAAGGCTTTAGACAGGATCAATGAACCCGTATATTGGAGATCTAACTCCTGGCCGAGAGGCAGACCATGCTGGGCTGTTAGCAGAATCATAACAATTGCAAGCAAGGCCATGCGAACTAGTAGGGTTAAACAGTACCCTCCCACACCCAGTTATATTGCCACGTGTGGACAAATGCATAAGTATGTTTTTAGTTACCAATCACACCCCTGCGATTTAAAATTGCGCAATTTCAGGTGCGATTTCTGAAGACTTTATTGTTACTTGTGAAGATTTTCAATGATTTCTTGCAATTTGCAGTGCGATTTCCATTATATCCTATGTATGTGAAATTGCAAAAAAACTGCAGAAGAAGTAATGCAAGAACTACTTTAGAAATTGCACTGCAGCAAATCGCAAATGTTAAGACACTGGACATTCACATTCATTTAGATGCGATTTCAGGTGCGCTTTCAATTCCCAATTCGCAACCTGAAATCGAATTGATATTGACCAGGCACTTAATAAACAAACAGGAGATTTCCTAGTACTAGCCTGCAAAAACTATCGAACCTGCACTGTCTAACCATTTATTGTAAAAAAATCAGAGGTTTTAGTTGCATTAACCTTTGCAAATTATATTGTGGAGGCCTCACTGCCTCACCAAGGCTCCTCTGGGGTGGATTGGCCATAGATTCCCAAAGAAACATGCAGATTAGGCCTCCACCCTTTTCTTCTATCATCCGGAAGGATCTATGGTCCCCGGAGCCAGGAGGAGCGATAGAGCCACAACCTGTTGAGTCATCCAGCTGAGATTGAGCATAACCCGGCCTCAATCACATGTCTCACATAACTTCCATGAATCATCCACAATGATTTTGCACCGATAATATTCTACACTATTCTTTGTAGCACACTAAAACGTTGCTACATAAAGTATAGTAATAGTTGTAATCGAATAATATTAATATTTGATGCCACACTATAATGTCACCTCACACATCTCACTGTATATATTATACTTATGTATTCCTTCCCTTGTCAATATTCCTTCCTCACCTTGCTGATGCCAGCAATGACATGCTGGTTTTGTAGGGGGCAATGTAACCTGAGTCTGCATTACAGTTAGCATCTCTACTGTCCCTGATGTGCAGGGACAAGCCATGATTTTTATTTTTGCCTGTCCACGTAATACCTGTATCTTGCCCTTTGTCCTAAAGTCCAAACTTGTTGTGCCTGTCACCACTTCTGCACTAGTCCTGTCACCTAGTGCATTGTACAATTGCAATTCATATACAAATGATTGACATTCATATGGAAATAACACGAACAACTCTTAATATAAAAAAGCCCCCCCACACAGAGGTTCCAACCAACATCTAGCTTGGACATTAATGCTCTGAGGGAGAGGTAAACAATTTCAATCATTACGTTAGGATTGGGAGTCCTATATATGCCACTGAACATGACACAACCAGCTACAGAACTTTAGGATGATGCAGGATAGTTGTGGAGGGTGAGCAGAGGGAAGGGGAGTTTCTATATGTGGTACATAAGGTAAGCAAGGGGGAGGAAGCAAAGGAATATATGGAGAGGGGAGTTTAATCATTTGTGAGGTTCAAAAGATAAGAAAAAAGGGGGGTGCAGAGATATAGTGAGAGGGAGGGTAACCATTTGAGGTTTCAAAGGTGAGGAGAGGGTTGGGGTGAAAAAAAAAAAAGTGAGCAAGCAGGAGGTGTGCAGAGAGTAAGGTGGCTGTAAAGGGGAGCGTTGTAGCCATTTAGAAGTAGAAGCAAACATTTTAAATTGATGCCAACTTTGTAGTCTCTCCGGGCCCAAACATGGTGGCATGATGAGAGTGGCAGATATTTTTAAACTATGGTAATCTCCTAAACCAGTGGTCTCTAAACTGTGGCCCCGGCTGGCCAGATGTGGCCCTTTCCTTGCCTATATCCGGCCTCTAAGATACTTTTTCTCCAACTGGATGCCAATTAATGGGGGTACCATTTTCTCTTTCACTATCCATGGGGCATTATTCCTCACTCTCATACCAACATTGGAGCAAGTAGAAACAGGTAAATGCTGTTGAATGTAGGAAATGTAAAGTAATGGCATCTTTGATGCTTAAAAAATATGATGCACGTTACTTAATAGGGGGAGAACCTCTGGGGGAAGAGAAACACAGGGGGAGTGCTGAGTCAGTATTGTACCCTACATGGTGTAAGCGTTTATTACCCATGATTGCTCATCCAGGAGGTTGAGGGGGGCTCAGTTTGATTGTCTAAATCAGAATAAAGTGTTTTTGAGTTTCCTTATCAGCTGGTAAAACCTAGTTTGGGAACTGGAGCCCAGAGATTTTTTAGAGGATTTGGGGAGGGATGAAATCTCAAATTTCCCTGGGGACCAGGTTTTTACAGAACAACTAGCACACTGATGGTACAGGTGTCGTGCAGGACTTTTAGAAGGGACCAGGTTTTGGGCTCAACCATGTCAGACAGAGGATGGCCTCTGGTCAGTAGTCAAGGAGGGCTCCACCTAGGAGAGAGTGTGGAAAATCAGAGCAGCAAGGGGGCTGCTATTGTGTATGGACCAATGCTTGTAAGAAAATCGGTCTGTAGGAGGGAGGGCAGACAAGTGCCTGGAGAGTGAGGCCAAAGCCGCACTGATGTAAGGTGTAAGCCAGGGGGATGATGAACTACATTGTTCTGTAAATCCCTGCAAGGAAACACATTGATTTTGTTTTCTAAATTTAACATTTAATAAATTTGGGCAATTAAAAAACCCTTAAAAGAAGAAGTGAGTGAGCTCTGCCAATTGAAAAAGTTTATATACAATGCTTATGTGTTACAAGAAGCAATGATTACTTGCAAACTGCACCATTTATTGTTTCTATGTTGGCTTCATGTGGTGGTACCATTGCATATTTGCAATGCTGGCCCAGCTGGTCTATGGTCCCCCCTTCATTTCACGCCTATTGTGAAATGGTTAGGTATTTTTATACCAATGTCGATCATTCCCTCTTAGACAAAAAAACATCCAGTGAGGGAGATCCCCTCTGCCTTTCTCGCATACGCTCTCAATTCATTAGACTTATAACAGTTGCATGGCTGTCCATGTATCCAACTAAAGTAGTCTGCTCCTGTTTTCTGCTTTTCACTGCACAATATTGCATATTGCTTTTATTCTGCCATTGGCCAGCCTTCACTTGCCTTTGCACCTCTGGGGTTTGTTGCTTCCACTTCCTCCTATTTACTCATTCTCCCTGCTATAATTGCTCGCTATAATTGCTCTCCCTGGCCTATCCATCATCAAGTTGAATACCCCTTTTATGACTTCACATTAATTATCAGACCCAAATCTCTTGGAATCGCCTATTTTTTTTTGTCCAAAAAACATAAACACTGAGAAATATGGTCAAGTCCGTCAAACTCCAATTTTCCATTCAACACCTCTAACATTGCACAGTGCCTTCCATCTAGAGCACCCTGTGCTTTTCACAGATGGAGATAAGGTTTAACCCTGGAGCACAGTGTGATAACAGGATGTGAAAGGGTCTGGAAAAGCCATGGGAGAAAATGTTAAGCTTGCCTGTAAGTAACTCAGTCACATGACTGTTTTTTGGGTGGTGGTTCAGTGATGGTCCGCGGGAGGCATAATGCCATGGAGGGAACACAACCAGACCTCTACACGGCTAGACAGTTGGCACCCTGACATGGCCATTAGGTATCGGGATGAAATCCTTGGACCCAAATGTCAGAACCCTACACATGGAGCAGTGGGTCCTGGGTTCCTCCTGGTGCACACAATGCCCGGCCTCTAATGTGGCAAGA